AGGCCTCAACCCGCGGGTCCAGGCGGCCAGGTTTAAGTTTCAAGCGAATGCGAACGAGCAAGACCAAAACGGAAACACCACCCAAAGCCCTCCCTCGAGGGACGTGTCCCCTACTAGCCGAGATAACCTAGCTGCCAAACAGGTAGCTCGGAACACCGTTACCCAGGTCCTTTCCAGATTTACAGGCCCTCAGAGCGGCGCTCCGTCGCGGCTGGGGGCGTCGCATTCTATGGAGGTTGGCACTTACCCCCCGGTCGGTAGAACGAATTTAAAGACTCCCAGCGTGTCAAGAATTGACAGAGGAAATCCTCCGCCTATTCCTCCTAAAAAACCAGGGCTTTCGCAAACTCCTTCTCCACCACACCCACAGCTTAAAGTTTTAATGGATAGTAGTCGATCCCCAAATACGAGTGCAAAAACTGACAGCAAAACCGTGACCTCACCTCTTTCAAGCTCACCACAAGGAATCAGGGTAATAAATGAGGAAATTATTTCTAAATCCTCACCTCAGCTGCCACCAAAACCTGCTATAGATTTATCTGTGGCACCTGCAGGCTGTGCCATACCAGCCATAGCCTCATCTCAGGTGGGTGCCTGGCCTTCCCACTTCCCTGGACTGAACCAACCTGCATGTTCAGAAAATTCCTTTGTCATTCCCACCACCATTGCCTGTAGCTCCTCCATAAACCCTGTTAGTGCTCCATCCTGTAGACCATGTGATTCAGACAGCCTCCTGGTAACAGCATCAGGTAAAGGGATTGATATGCTACAAACTGTCTCCCTCTAAAAGAATGTTTTGGTCTTCCTATACGTCTCTAATTGGCTTAATTTATCTTTTAATACCTTTCTCTTTTTTACTTTCTAAGAGGTGAAATTTTCATTTGTATTTTTCCTACGTTCCGGGGGTATGGGAATTCTTTTGCTGATTTAGTAATGTTATAAATTACTTGTTATAATATTACTTCCTCAAGGAGGTCTCCAAATTGAAGGGTTTTTTTAAAAGTAAGAGGACTAACATTTTAAGTAAGTGGGCTGGAGGTTATGATATATTAAAGACACTCCTTTTTGGTTTTTTTGTGGGGGTGTTTGGGTTTTTTGTGTGTGTGTGAATGCTGTTAGTTTGGACTTCAAAATGCTTTTTGAAGAAAAAGCATGGTTTTTTTTTTTTTAGAAAATAGGGCATAGCTGGGGCTGCTGTATTCTCCTGTGGCATTAGATGGTTGCATATCAAAGTATAGAATTGCCTGGATAACAGCACTGATTCAAATATATCACTTCATACCTATAGAATATGTTCCATTTTTATTTTTTGGTTTTAGTTGTAGGCTTTCTAAGTACTTGTGTGTGGCATCTCACAGGTTTACTTCAGATATCAGCAAAGATTTGCTGCTGGAGTTAAAATCTAAGTGTTATGTTGATAGTCTAAGTCTGGAATCAGTGCTGCTGTCTGCTGTTTGTTTTACATTGCGGTGGGGATTTACTTGTGTGCCTAATGTGCTGCCAACTTCAGGATACCTTCTTTATGACAGCTAAATGAGCAAAGGTGGCCCTGATCTACCTTTCAGTTAATTGTACATCTCCTGTAAGTCTTTTTTCTCAACATATTTCTTTGCTGGAATCAACAGCAATGGAACATTAGGTAGAAACCCCTCTTTAGCCTTTATTGCGCTACGTTAAGGAAGATGGACACACAGTTATGGAACACTTTATGTCTTCGTCATTGATGAATGTTTGAATAGTCTGAGACTTTCAACACTTTTTCTCAGTTCAGTTACAGTATTTCAGTACTCAATAACTTCAGTCCCTGTGTCATCATTGATAGGGTATAAAACCCCTGCACAGTTGGTCTGCTTCCATCACACAACCAACCACTTTGTGTTGGTAGCTGCACCTACCTCTGACAAGGCAGCTGAACTCGCCAGTCTAAGTGAAGCTGTTCCAAAAGCAGCACGTGGCAAACTTGCATATAAGGGTGATTCCAGGGTTCACGTTATCAAGGAATTTTTATTCCCATTCCACTTCACTGAAGGCTTTCTAAACATTTCTGTAGTAACCTGGTCATGTTTTTGACTGTGGCACCGTATTGTCAGAATCCTCTCCTTTCTGAACTCTGCTATGAAACTATGAACTCAGAAGACTTATCTTTCATTTGTCTACTACTTCTCAGAGTTAACAGCTGTGAGATTTAATGGCCACCTCTTAGTTTGCTGATTTTCATACAAATGTCCTGAATTTTCATCTTAAATTCTTATTCCTTGCTGAATCGGATTGCCATGTCAGATCGATCATTAGTCTCCCAATATTCCAGATATTCTCCAAACCTCATTTGCCTTCAGGTGCTATTAGGCTTCATAAGAGAATTCAAATTTAATTTAAAAAAAAACAAAAAAAAAAAAATCAGTATTTTATTAACACATGTAAAACAGTTTTTTGGCAAAATAAGCTTCAAAGTGAATAGTTTTTTAGGCAAGAGGCTGTCTTCCACAAATCCTACCAGAATGAATTAGGCAGTGTATTTCAGTTAATCTTAAATTAACTAGATGTTGTTTGCTGATCATCTAAGACATTTTTTTTATCACTCTTTATAAAAGGTAAATATTCTGTCTTAAAAATGAAATTACCACCACTTGACTTCATAACTCCATGTAGTCCGTATACTTCATAACTCCATATAGTGTGTTACTGCTTTAGTTTGTGCTTCAAAGTATAAACTCTCTTTCGCAGGACAACAACCAGCCTTTTAAATAGGACTTCTCCACCACTGGACTCAAGTCAATTTCTGTTTCTTATGAAATGTGTCACCTCTCAGAGACAAGTCTCAAAGATAGGATTTTTGTCAAAAACTGTTAGTTTTTTAAAATCATGCTGTTTTGTGTGTTCAGATTGCCTTTGTTCACTTACACACCATTCACTTGTTTTTGGAAGGGGTGGAAACATTTTAATTCATTTAATCCCCTCATAGTCTTTTCTCTGAACATTTGACACTTTGCCAAGTGTTCTGGCAAACTGGATAACAAAATAAACTTTGAGCAACAGATGTTATCCCAGTATGGAAACAGATTTCCTTCAAAATGTTATGCTGATAAAAGAAAAACAGATTTTATAAATATATATGAAAATAGACTTTGTCTTAGAAAAGATAAACCAATTTAAAATAATGTGGTCAGTAGTGCCTGAATTCATGTCACTTCGGTTTGTAGTATGACTTTTCTTGAGGTGAGCAGCATCCTAACAAGTACAAACTACAAATGCTACTGAAACCTTCTTTCCATATCTGTATTTTCATCCCCTCTAGGCACAAATTCAGTAAGTTTTACTAATGTTCTCGTTTATTTTAATCTGGCTTATTTACTTTTTTTTTTTTTTAGAGAGGGTTTAGAATTTCAATTTTACTTTCTGTTAAAGGAGAGCATGGTGAAATCTTATTTATATTTTATTGTATAATAGAGAGCTTCCATCAGAATTTGCTAATATTTTTAAACAACAGTGAAAAACATATTAAAAAAGAGATTAAAAACCCCTCCTTTTTTATATTTTTTTGTCAATAAATTAATGTTTTTCTTCTTCCTGTGGAGTCAGCAGAATTGTTTATAGCACAATCACTAAAGTGATTTCATTTTAAAACAGTTTGCTGTTTAGCTCAGAATGCTTTAAGACTGTTTCAGCAGCAATTCGTAGTAAAGGAGTGTCTTGGTTCTAGAAGGAGCAACTATTGAGAGCAAACTTGAAGTCAGAGGACCAGTTGTTTCAGTTACGTGTTCTGCTAAATTAATGTGATGATACCTTCTTTCAGAGAGGGGGCATTGTACCGTATGTCACTCTTTTCATCCTTGGGAAGAAAAGACACCAGCTTTTGTCGTTAATGTTGAACAGACTGCACATAGAGAAATTACAGTGAACATTTATGGCCTGTTTCAAAACCTGTGACAGTGTTTTCATTAACTTCAGCAGCCTTTGAACTGGTGCCAAAATACTTCTGCTCTGTTTGGATTTCTACATTTCAATGGCTGTAAGACTTCAAAATGGAAACGAATGTAGGCAGTTGGATTTTCATACCCCTGGGACTTCTGCTTCCACTTTCCTCTTGGTTTTGTGCTTTCTGTGTCACTCTTCAATGAAGTATGTTTTTTTTATTTTGCTCACTTCTATAGTGATTGATGTGTTCTGTCTCTACAATTGGCTTCTAATATCGGGGGGGGAGGGCAGGAACTGATCTGGGCTCTGAAATTAACCATCTCACATTCTGAAGCTGATGCCAGAAGCTGTTTTTGTCTGTCCCTCTGCCCTTCATCACTTGCATGCCCTACAAGCTTTCACAAATGCTTCATGATTCCTAACTTTTTGCATCTGTAACAGTGTACCTTATTGATTGGTATGTTCTCAGTGTATTTTGTTGCATGAATTCAGCTTTATTATATTGCTTTACATAATAGAAGCCAAAGTTACATTTATGTTATTACCTGGTTTTTGTACGTTTTTCAGTAGAATATTTTCACCTAATGGTAATCTGTTATAATGAATTTCATCAATGAATAGCAAAAACATATTTTTAATTTTAAGGAGTTGAAATGAAGGTTAAAGTACCACATATGTCACAAAAGCATTTGGCATTTCTGTTAATGATTATTGCTTTTAAAGAAAACAAACAAAATTTTAAAAAAAAAGGGAAAAATAAAACAATAACAACAAAAAAACACTTGTACATTTTCCATAAGGAAAGGAACCCAGAAATACCGTTCGTACTACAAAACCTCTTGGCAAACTGAACTTCATGCTTAAAGCTTAGTGTCAGGCTCCCCATATTCCCCCAGATATTCCAGTATAACTTGGACAAAGAATGTTAGTATCTGGATTGCCACCCAAGCAATGTCTGCTATCCGTTAACTACCATGGCAAGACAGTAAGAACTAACAAGTACCATTTTAAAGATGTTAATATGTATATAGCAACAGCTGCAGCACAGTTAGTTGCGAAGAACCAAAAGTTGGAAAAATAAAAACACTTTCATAATGGGAAAGAAGAACAAAAGTTGTCCTTCAGGCCTTTGGGGATTTTGTAAGAATTAACTGTCCTCAAATACTGGAAATACTAAATACATATATGATTGGCTAGCACTTGCTCGCTTTGATGGAGCTGAAGACAATGCCCTGCAGCTTCTCTCAGTCTTAGGTGTTGCAAAACCACAGTAAAAGCTGCATAAACTTGCTTTCTGGTATCACATTTCAGCCTTGTATAATAGTTTGTGTGGCCACAGAATACAAAGTTTTTTATTAAAGAAAAAATATAATGTGGATTTTCTAGTAGTATTAGCGAAAATAAGAAAAAAAAAATCTTTCTCCTGTTTTCTCTTGCAGTCCTTGATCAAGGAAGAATGCACAAAATTTTCTATGCCTTATGCAGAAAACTTCATATTCTTAACAAACTCCCTACTAAAGCTTATAAGTAATTGAGATAACTCCTGAGCTTTCAAAGCTTTGAATTGAATATGATTTTTTGACAGGGTGACTTGAATGCTTTCACTTGTAAATTTTATATAACCGTTATTCACTCACACTCAAGCATTTTATAATACATTAAGTATTACTGAGTAGAAAGAACTTTAAGGTACAGTTCAATAATAATTTATTTCTGTATTATTTCTGTAAATTATTTCTACTTTATTTTGCAAACTTATTGAAAGGCACTTAAAATGAGTAAGAGCTCTCTGCAGTTTATCTGTATAATTGCAGGTGAATATATAAATACTAAAGTGTGCACTGAGAATCTAAAAGAGAATTAAATTCTGTATGAATATAAGTATTTTGTTGTGGAAACATTTCTTTAGATACTTTAGAAAACATTCCCAGCATATCAGCAATTAAATTAAAACTTGTATAAAACTTTTGGTAGGTTCTGAGTTTTAATAACATACTATTTTTGAGACATCCAGCTGCTCTGACAGTTCATAGCAAGTTTCACATTAACCTTTTTTTAAATGAAATTGTTCATTTGCATTAACAACCGTCACCCCTGTGTGCAGTTTTTATTTTTCAGAATACCCTCTGATGTATAGACAAAGCATCATTACAAAGCTTACGCTGAGCTAACAAATCCTGTCAGTTTGAAGATCCTTTTTAAGTTTTAAAAAGCCACAGAAAATGCAGAGCCGTATTTGTGTGTCTTCCATCTAACTTCTGTTGCTTTAACTCACAGGCTGGCCTTCCTCCCTAACCCCTTTGTTAACAAGTGGTGGTCCTGTCCCCCTGGGTGGCAGGCCCACCCTTCTTCACCAAGCTGCTGCCCAGGGAAATGTCACTTTATTATCTATGCTGCTTAATGAAGAAGGACTGGACATTAATTACTCTTGTGAAGACGGCTATTCTGCCTTGTATTCTGCTGCTACAAATGGACATACAGGTAAGTGATACTAACTTCTCTTACAGTATTCATGTGAAATAGTGAAAGCTTTATAATATTTAATATCACATCGTTTTAATATTCAATTAGGTCAAATAATATGGTTTTTAAAAATGTGAAATTGAAACTGAGATACATAGACTATTTGACAAAAGTCATACTGTAGTGTATATATAAGCAATGCTTCTGGAGGCAGAATTTCAGAACACGGAAAGCATTCTTGCTTCTGGCAATTCTGCAGGAACATCCATTGTAATTCTCCACTCCCTTCCTATAAAAAGACACCAGATATCATCACCCCATATTCTGTAGCAAATTAAAGATCTTTTGTAGCAAAGGCAACTTGAAAGAAAAAACTTTCCTCTGCAGGGAATAAGTGGAAAGAATAAGCCATCACCAGTGTTTTGATCTTGTGCAGCAGCAGTGAAAATGATTGAAAATGGTTTCAGAATAGTGTGTTACTTGGGAAATAAAATGAACAGATGAAGTAGCTTTAGTTTGTTCTCTAGGCTTTACTGTGATAGTTAACATTTTTCTTCTTCTTTTCCACACTACCCCAACCCTCAGTCTCAAGGAGGTAGAATCTCCGAACCTTTCAACAGTCAGTCTTCATATTTTATGAATGTTTATGAAATGAGGCAAATATGTTAGTAACAGGGATTTCATGGGTACAAAGTCCAAGCAATAGTTCTCAGGCTGTTAACATAAAGCTCTTGAACAGCAGCTTTCTTTAAAATTCCAGTACTCATTACTGTATTTTTCTATTGTTTTTTTCTACTTATGTCAAAATCTCCTAGATTGTTATATTGCAAATAACATCATTATGCTCTTTTGGACATTAAAGATGAAAACCACCAATACCAATGAGAAAAATTCTGTTCATTTTTAGTAAAGTCAAACTATTACTTCACAGCAGAAGGTGGAGCATAGAGGCTTTAAATCCACTGCTTTCAAAAATACTTTGTGGTTTTATTTGACAATGTATTGGTTAGTGACACAACTAGAAAACCCTGATGCAGTGTTCAAAGCAGTGCTTGGAGAGACTATTCCATTATTTTTCTCAAGTATTTTATAAATCAAAGTAAAGTTAGGACCAAAATCCGTAGCTAGGCAGATAGTATACATCACTCACCTTGTATTCCTAAAACGTTTTGAAGCCAATGCCCTAATTTTCAGTTACAATTACTGAGAAGCTCTTACTGACAGCCAAGACAATTTGGGTTCTTGTTTTATTGTCAAATTTTCAAATGAGAGGGGCACTTGACAGAACTGTGAAAACACATTAACAAAGACAAACACGTGCATATGCATTCTGTAATTTGGTATTAACTTTTACTTTTTAAGATTAAAAATATATTAAAAAGGTTTTAGTTTTGTTCTTCTATTTATAGTTGACATGCTGTGAAAACCCCTTACATTGTGCAAATCATTGCATTTTAGCAGCTAAATGGATTGTATGACTTCTGAATGAGAGATTCTCACAGCTGCAGTATTGATGTCTCAATAAATTATATGAAAAATGAGAGCAGTAAATTTATAATATTTTTGGAGAAAGGTTGTTGTGCTTAACTTTTATATGTAATCCTTTCTTAGTTGCTTGCACTTTGTTCCCTAGTGCGTGGATAGATGCAGCTCTTCAAAGTGGAAACATAAAAAGTCTATATATTTTTACATTACTTTAAGAAAAGAAGAATAAATATATTTTAAGGTATTTTTTAATATCTTTTTTTATTAACCAGGTAGAAAGAAATTACAGCAATGTAATTCTAGGAAGGATAAAATACTTTGTAATATAATTTTTTTCATTGCATTGAGTAGGATTGTGAATGGTAAGTTACTGCCTCTTGGCTGTTAAGGTTTTTTTCCTTAGATTGATAGAAATATTTAGATTTATCAAGTCCAACTCTAAAACTTAACACGTAAGTTTAACCTGGTGGGTGATCACACCATGCTTTTAATTTATTTGGAATGCTTTCAACCTGCCGTTAGTGAAATTCAGTGAAGAAATACAGTATCTGAGGTGTAGAAAACTAGAGAGTAGTAGAGCAAATTGTAACCAACATGGTGGCAGCAGCTGTTACACGCTCTCAGCCCAGTCTGCAGAGAAAATTGAGTTACCCAAGACAAGAGAGCACTCAAATATTCTTTCACAATCTGTCCTGTTTGCAAAATGTGTCGCCTTCCTGTTCATAAACAGTTGCCTTTTGAGAGCTGCAGCTGAGGGTTTTTCCAGCACATGAAGCTCATAGCAGCTGCTGTTTCCTGCACATACTGTCCCCAGTTCTGTAGGTCTGAGAGAGAGAGAGAAAGAACTGAAAATACACATGCAACACTTTCTTTATGTTTGAATGGACACAAATAATGTTATGATTTCACCACTAGATTGGGATAGTTGAACAGATTGTTTTTCCAGGTTGTCTTGGTTTGATCCATCAACAAAGCAGAAGCTGCTTCAGTCTATTACCCACTTGGTAACATGTGCAGTAGTTGACTTAGCTGACTTACCTCTATTGTGTTGCCAATCCTGACCATTCTCTGCCACACACCAGGTGGCTGAGAAAGAGCAAATGGCATAATGAAAGTTCCTGAACCTGAGATGCGAACATAATAATATCCTTTGGACTCAGCTCTGTACTAATCATACGCATGTATGGTATAATTGATTCTCTTCTGTCCTGAGTATTTGGAGGCTGTGGAACCCTGATTGATAGGAAAAACTGGAATGATGTGGGAAATAGAAAGGAGTGAGGTGCAGAGACATACAGCTACATGGAGTCAGCTCTGCCGAGCCACTGGATGTATCTGCATGATGTTTGCCAGCACTCTGGAAGAACTAACTACCCAGCTGTGGTGGAGAACAGTAAAGTCTCCAGGTGCTTGTGCTAATATGCTTCCATGTTTTGCTTTTGCTTTGACAACAAACTTTAACTAAGTGACAAAATCAATGTCTGTCTTGTGCCTGCCCTTTCACCCAGTCCTCTCCACTGGTGGTTACTTGTGTGGCAGACATCAGTGAACTGGAGTTAATGAGCCTGGCCTGACCCAAATTACCCTACTGCAAATCCCAATCAAAAGTCCATCCAGAGGACTCAGGCTTCTTGGAGATTCTTGCTCTTTTACTTGGTATGCCACCAGAACAGGTCATGAAGAGCTTACTAGCTCACACGGTTTGCCTTAAGAAAGTAGCTGTATTTCTTCATGCTTGAACCTATCCCTGAGAATAAAAAGCTCTTTTCAGGCTTTTCATCAGAAACAGTATTTTCACATAGATAAACTACCACCTAAAAGATCAATAATGGTGAGTTAACCATACCTTTCTAGAAAAGTGGTTTTTTTCTGTGTGTTCTTCATGGCTTTTGCATGGCTAACACAGGCTTTCTGAAGAAACCAAAGAATGTTCTAGCCAAATACTTGAAAATGCGAGAAGAAAAGTTTTTCAACATCCTTCACAAACTGCAGAAGTATTTTAGGATGTCAAGCAGGAATCTGAGTTTTCAAATTAATTATTTAATATAAGACTCGGATTGACAATGGAAAAAGGAAAACAAAAAACATCATTGTTAGAATATGTTTTCTGTTTTTAAGTCATCGGAAAATTTAATTTGATTTTAATTGTTATTATCTTACAAATGGAAATACTAGGTAAGTCATCTCAGATCAGATTACTTATTTTAAAAATTTAAGTTTAATTATCTATCTTAAAAAATTAAGACTTGCTTATAATACAGTCTTGTTTATAATACAATGATCTAGTGTTTTAAAGTCTTACATCTTGGGTCTTGATGTTAAATTATTTATGCAATCAACTCCATAACATCTGTATTAATACTTAAAATTAATACTTAGAAAATTGTAACAGGAGTAAATACATTCAGGAATGGTTTAAATTAGTCAGGTTTCCGAGTAATTCTAAATATATGTTTCTGATATCTAGAGATAAGCCTCATTAGCAAAGCCTGGCCCTGGGATCGTACCCACTTCTGGAACAGAATATATTAAGCTTGCTCAGAAATTGGGTCAGGAGTCTATAATTGATGTTCTAGCTGAGCTTATTTTCAAAGTAGTAGTTGTGACTACAAAAAACTGTTTTATTTTGGTCTAGAACCAATTTCAAGAATATAGAGCAGATTAAGCTTTTCTTCAAACTTAATTGCATCAAATGATATACCAATTTGTGGATGAAATGCAATCTAATTACTATGTAATTAATTATCTTAATTTAGCTGTAGGATGGTAGAATCAGGCTGCAACAATTTTTAGCATGTCGTTTTGGAAATATATGAATGGGAATGGTTTGGGAAAATTTGAGCTTGTCAGCTTTGTCTGGTTTGTTATTGCAATCTCAAGTCAAAGTGTCCTACAGAGTCTGGCCAGCACGTTGCTTGAGTTACATGTAGTTTGTGAACATCTCCACTGTGGCTTTCGTATTTGGGATGTGTCACGTGACTGTCAGTGGGCCCGTGCTGCCTTTAGGGGCTGCTGGGTAATTCAACTTCCCTGCTTTGGAGGTAAATTAGCTAACGCTGTGTGAGTTGCTAACAATGGGCACATATTTGGATCCCAATAGAACCCAACCCAAGCCCTTTTTTGCAAGAGCAGTGGTGCCCCCAGGGAGTCAATTCTCACCTCTCTCCAGCAAACTACTTCCTGAGCTTCTACCTGGGTTTGCTAAGGTGTGTGATGCAGAGGCAAAAAGACTGGGTGCTCTTCCCCCTTGAGCAGGTTTTCATGTATGGTAGTTTTAGCAACTTGTTTTTGTTGCATATGTCTATGTTTTTGCTCAATTTATAGATTGTGTGAGATTGCTGCTGACTGCAGAAGCACAAGTTGATGCTGCTGATAAAAATGGCTTTACACCCTTGTGTTCAGCAGTTGCTCAGGGACATGTCAAGTAAGTGAAGTCTTAAGATTTTGCCTGTCAGATATTATTCCATTTTATGTTCTCTTTGTATACTTTCTTCATTACATTATGATTGCATTCTTAGGTATAAATGCATTAAACTATCATTTATTGAAAAATGATATTGCAAAACACTGTACAACACTGCAAATACAAATATTGCAAAAACCTGTCATTATTGAATTCATATTCATATGCCATTCTGTTTTTAATATTTTCCATTTGGTTTGTTTCCAGTTGCAGCTCTTAAGGTTGCTGAACGTGTATTCTTAGGAAACACAATGTGATATATGAGTGCAATACCTTTTAACTTCTTAATTTTCTTTATCAGCCATATTACAGGATCAATAGAGGAAAGAAATTATTTTTGCAGGAATTTTTTAAAGCATAGAGAGTTATGAATATCATGTTCAGAGACAAAAGAACATTCACCTGAATATTCTCCTGAGCAATCTAGAATCAAATACTTCAAACAAAAAACCAGATTTTTTTTTAATTTTTTTTGTATCATTAATTTCAGAAAACAGCAAATTATATGAGTCAAAGAATAAGAACACTTTTCAAAATGTAGGTACAATGATTTCCTTTTATTTTTTGAAGCTCCTAATTTTATAAAGGTTGGTGTTTTATGACAGCATGCATGAAAAAACTCTATCTTCTTTTTAAACTCAGAAGCAGTACACAACAGTTCATCCAGGTGATTGTTTTTTTTCCTCCCTTCATCAGAGGAGCTGAAGGCTGACATTGTGTTTCTGCTCTTCAGCTTTACTCTGTATCATAGAGCCATAGGAAATGGAACTGGAGGCTGGAAGCAACCATTAGGTGACTTCTTCCAGAGCATCTTTATCCAGATAAAACCATTTTACAAATGCAAAAAAAAGAAGTCTTAAAACAGCATGACTAGGAATCTTTATTACAGACTTCACCTTTAGTTTATCTATCTGTAGTTTTACTTATCTATCTTTTCTTCTGGTTTTTATTCTTTTAATGTTGCATTATACAATTTCTAAAGATTTTACTCTGATATAGTAACATGTAGGGGTCAGAATCTTTGAGTGGTATTACGCTGTGGCAGACCCTGACCCAACAATGAGGAAGAGTGGGATCCCTGTCCTCATGGTCTTCCATGAGTATATAGGGATCATCTGAGATTCTTGTCACTTCTTAGAGGGCTTCCTGTTTATCAACTAACGGACATATTTACTGGAAGTCTTAATCCAGGGGTATCAGATTCCCACTAGGTGTTCTGAGCACAGAAATACACGACTTTTTAAATGTTTCAATGTTTCATTCTTTTACATTGAAATCTATGAAAAATTACACAGGACTTGACAAGACAAACCAAAAATACACTCTTTGTATCTTAAGATACAAATAAGGTAGTAATAAGTATCTTAGACTTAGTTTAAATAGGCAGCTATTTATTTCTCAGACTTACTTTCACAACACTTTGCTATATATTATATGCTGTGTTGTAATATTGCAGACTTTACATTCTTTTTCACTTGGAGTTGCTTATATGTTATGATATCCCCAAACAGTTTTCTTGGTTTCATTGGTTTTTTTAGCTATTAAACATGAACCTAATTGTAAAAGTGAACATGGAATAATAACAGGGGCAGTCAAAAATAGCAGAGAAACTATGAATGCTTTAGGCTGTTTGATTTGTTGATCACTTCAAAGTTCTGGCCCTCCATAAAAATCTGTAATAGGCAGAATTTGGGGCAACAGTGTAGTCTGTTCCCTTTAACAGGGGTGTTGTGTTGCATAGCCAGTGTTACATGTACTATAGCACTAAGGATCTGAGGTTAATGGGAGCACTAAACTACTGTGAGGTACACAGTACTCTTGTGTGGGATAGATTTGCTAGCCAGTCCACCCTGACATGTTCCTTAGCCTTATTCCTGAACTGAGACAGGACTGTTGTTCCAGTCCTAGTTACACAGTCAGGAATAAAACAAATATATATCTCTATAGTTTTTTGAGGCTGTTAGTAGTATCACTAATTCAGAAAATACTTTAAGGGTAAACTTTCAAAATCTTTTCTCATGTGGTCCAGGCCAGGCTGACTTTACTTGACCTTACCTGACCAGAATCATTGAATACCATACAAAGTAACAACACATATTTTTAATATTAGTAGACTTAAAACTTAAGTCTATCTTGTTATAAGCCCATCTTAATATGACTTTTGTGACTATATGGTTAGGATACATGTTCAACATTTGCTAAGGTAGAGTATTACTCCTATTTGTATTTTTATGTTCAATTGAGCATTTTCAGAAAGCAAAGCCCAGTAATACGTGTTAATGTTATCTGGTTTACTCTTTCTCTAAAATTGTGCATTTTATTTTGAACTTGACTGATTTTCTATCTAAATAAGCACTTAATAAAAGGAGGCATTTTTAAAAACCTGTGATTTTTACATTTGTAATTTCTTACATACTTACATTTTTATATATACATTATATTGTTTTAAATACTTTGTCATCCTCTTTGTTATAGTATGGTCTACTAACCGGTAATTATTTTGTATTACTTTGATTGCTTTGAGGCTTAATTGTTGATATCCTACTGCTACAGGGTTGTGATGAAGTGCACTCCCCCAGGCGAGTGTCCCTTGTGCTGGTATTTAAAACTAGTCTGAGTCCTTTTTTTTTTTCTTTTTAAAATATTTTAAATATCAGTAGTCAGAAAATAAATGCTACTCTTTTTTGCTCAGCTAAAGTTTTTTTCTTTAGCAGTTGTCATGAAGTTTTTATTGTGAAACTGAATGTTTTACATTCACAGTTTTTAAATGCAGCTACAGTCGTTTAAGATTTATTGGTTTAAAGTAACCTTATTTTCTGTCTTTATACCTTTGTATAAAATTATACTTTATACCTTGTGTATATGTAATGGATAAAATAACAGATTGATCTATATCTATAAAATCAGAACCTTATTAATAAAAAACCTTTTAAACTTAAGTTATGAAGAGCTTTTGGATGTCAAATGTAAGATAATGTTACGACCTTATTGTTTGCTGTAGGTGTGCAGAATTATTAATTATGTATCAGGCTGATATTAACCATGCTGCTGAAAGAGGACAGACACCTTTGTACCTGGCCTGTAAAAATGGAAATAACGATTGTATTAAGCTATTGTTGGAAGGTGGAGCAGATCGAACAGTAAAAACCACTGTAAGTTAACATAGTTTGTGAAGTTTAAGGACCTTGTATAGTACTGAATAGCTGCAGACATGTTTAAAGCTGAAATAAACTATGTGATGTGAAATTAGCATTTTGTTCTTTTCATCATATTTTCTGGGATTTTTTTTCAGCTGTGTATTGTCTGAAACCTCCTAAATTATGGGACTTCCATATAATTTTACATATTTCAGTTCTGCCTGCAGTTTGCTGCAGACTTTTTAACACTGGAGAACTCTTCTGTTTTGATTTATTTTTGAAGTGGAGAATTGGAGATAGGGCTTTTGCTTCCATCTTTTGTGTTAGGGTGCTTTGTTTTTGTCTTTGGACCCTTATCCCCAGATTTGTCAGCCAGTATTGTAAAGTCTTGTATACCACAAGTGGGATAATATGGGGAAAAAAAAATATCTACAGAAGAAAGGGAGGAGGACTGTCTCAAAATTACCATCTAGGTTTTGCCTCTTTCAGGTGCTTTCTTGAAGTTTTTCTTAAGATTTTAACATAAACATGACCATAACTGTGGGATGTAGGCTGTCCTACACACAGCACAGAGTGTTGGCTTCACAGTACATTTTGCTTCTCTATTATACTGATTTTTTTTTGAATCATTTATTTTGGATTTGGAAAGTAAATATATTTCAATTTAAATGAGATAAAGTTATGTCGTCAAAAACATGAAAATACCCAACTGCTAAATTGATCAGTGCAGCATGAAACAAATTCTTTGTTGTTAGAATCATATTAGCTTGATTTATGATCAGGTAACAGCTTATTAATAGCATGTAAGTCCTATATTACTGGGACTCTTCTAAAAATTTTGAAGTCTGTCTGTTGGACTGTACTTGGAGAAAGCTGTAAAATTTTTTTTTGCTGCATTTTTTTCCCTCTCTTTCATCCACCCCACACACATAGGAGCAACTCTGTTTTCCCAAAGGATTATGATGTCACTCTTGCTTATCTTTTTGATTTCCAAACAGAGCCTTCCATTCAGATATATTGCTGATATAAGTTTTCCAAACATTTTTTTTCTCTGTTTGGTGGGAGTGTGCTTCTTATTTTTGGTTTTGTTTTGGTTTTGTTTTTAGGATGGCTGGTCACCAATTCACGCAGCAGTGGATTCTGGTAATGTTGACAGTCTCAAGCTCCTTATGTACTATGGAGAGCCAAACAATGGGAACTCTTTGACTGGTGCAGAACTGAATTTAGGCTACTTTGATTTGGAGAAGAGAGAAGACAACTGTGGCAGTAGAATAAAGCCTGTTGTTTCTGCAGATCTCATCAACCATGCTGACAAAGAGGGTTGGACTGCTGCACACATAGCAGCATCCAAAGGCTTTAAGGTCAGTCCACATGAACAAGTTACAGTGACCTGATAGAATTTAGGCCAGATAAATCCTTTTTTTTTTTTTTTTTTTTTTTTTTTCTTTGAAAAACTAAGGCTTAGGTGTCAAATATAAGGTTTTTTATTTAGTTTATTGTAGCACTTGATTTAACAGAGACAGGGAGATACTTCCAGTGGGCAAATTACCTCAGAAGCTAGGTGTCAAACGGGGTGAATTGACATAGTTAAGTGCCTATTTCTTTTGGGACAACAATTAAAAAAAAAAAACCATGATTACATGAGAATTCAGATTTTCAAAGTCAAGGTGAGGTGAATCCTACCCTAAATGTCAATTCATTTATTGTCATGTACTTATAGGTATTAGATGGGCAGAATTTCCAGTTGCAGTTAGGGATGATTTAACTATGAACAATTTTTCCTGTAGGAGGGAAAGGAGAAAAAGAAATTTCGGAATCAGATTTGTGCAGTAATACGTTGTTTAATTTGTTACTTTGGGCAGATTTTTTAGCAGGCAATGAATTTGAATGACAGTTTTGAAAATTTGAATTCAAATGACAGTTTTTGGGGGATTGTATAACTGATTACATGGAGAATGACCTGACAGATGTTACCGATGATATACAAGATTATTTCTGGAAATTAAATATTACTCAAAGGATTTGACATCAGAAACTTCTAGACTTCTAGCACTGGCTGTTTAAATAATTATTTTTTGTTTTTATGATAGCTGTCAGTCATATCTTACTGTGAAACTTTTACCTAGGGAGAAAAAAGAGGATACTAAACACAGAAGATGGTCAAAATTAGGAAAATATAGTCCAAGAATTCAAAAGTTAGCTTGTGATTATATGCCTAATTCAATGTCTATCATTATATTTTGCTTTTTTTCCTAATGAGTTTACTGTGAGAAATTCAAAATAGGCACAAAATGAAGAATCAGCTTACTAAATGATGGCTTTTTAGGGACCAGCCACTGCTTACTCAGCATTTTGCATTACAAAGAGTCCATGTTCCATTAGCAGTGTCTGTTAGGCAGGTACAGACTCTTATTTCAGTTTCCACTCATCTGAATTTAGATAGAGTTTAAGGAATTTGTTATAGTCAGCAAATACCTAGATAGTATCCAATATGTTGCTTCTTTTTGCAATAGTATAATCCTCTGGAACTTGGAAGCTAGGTTTTATTTACTCTGAAGCCACTAAAAGAAGCTTTGGCTAGGTGTCCTCTCTGAAGGCTCTGACACTGGAAGTCTTCCATACACCTTTCATGAATAATTCATGGGTTTGAGTTTCTGAGCACATTCCAGGTCAATTATTTAATAAGATCTCCGTTGAGAGTTGAGAGGGTGTTCTTTTAAGTGATGAAGGCAATATATGGCTAGCACTCAGATTCCTGATCTTGATGTTGCAGAGACTTCACATAGTTGTACTTGATTAAATGCATTTATTGACTTGAGAGATGTTCAGTATATTGAGAAGCTAAAGAAAGCTTAATAGCCATCTTCATGTACTGCCAATACTTTGACTTCATTCTCTAATCCTTTATCTGCACTGCATGTCATTCATGGCACAACATGATGTCTGCATATGAACGCTTGCACCCTCTTCTTTTGAGATTGGTAGGTGCTATTCTTTACAAATTAATTATGCTCTGGCATCCTAGCTACTATTTAATAGGCTACAGATCCAACAGAACTTCGCATTTTTGTAAAGAAATAAGCCTCATTTCTTTTTTCTTTCTCACTTCTTTCTTCTCTCTACTACCCACTTTCAGCCTCACAATCCAGTTCTCTGCCTTCTGCTTTCTTTGCCATTCATTAAACCCGTTTGAGAGACAGAGTTAGCTTATTTTCTTGCCAGGTTAGTAAGTTATTTTTTTCCATTTAATTTTCCTCTGGCAAAGTTAGCGAGCTGATTGATTTATTTTTTTTTTTTTTTTTTTTAAAAAAAGTTCGTACACGTGCTGGAACAACAATCTGGTAAAACTTCATCTCACAGGGAAATACAGCTTAAATGACTTATGTTTATGAGAGGTGTCAGCCTATCAGAAACACTGACAAAAGTCTTTCTGTTAGAACACCTACAAAAGAGGTAATAGTGACCAAACCTGCACCAAGCCACTGTTCTGAACCCAAATGCACCAATAGCTGCTTCTCTGCATCTTCAAAGTTTGGTTTCTCTGCTATGATTAACCGCAGAGGTTATCAATACAGTATTAGCTAGTATAATTTCTGATGGTGTCTTTTTTTAATATGGATATCTGCCTTTGAAAGGCATGTCTGAGGATGGCAAAGCTTTCACAAAGGCCACTTGTATTGTTGCTATAAAATATTTTTACTCCTGGTTTTCAACTCTGTGAGGAAGATCATTTGGGCGCTCATATTAACAAACTCTGTAGCTGACTGTCTTTGGAAATGCATATGTAAGAATTTCATTTGGGAGCCTAACTGCATATTGGTAGAACTCTAATCCAGCAAATGGACAAGTAAATAATACAGTTCTTACCTTTTCAGAACTGTCTAGAAATTCTTTGTAGCCATGGTGGACTAGAGGCTGAGAGAAAAGATAAGTGCAATCGAACGCTGCATGATGTTGCTACTGATGATTGCAAACATCTCCTAGAAAACTTAAGTAAGTAAATGCTATCAGCACTGTATAAAAGTGGTTTTAGCTGAAGAACTTGTGGGACAAAAATGAAAAATATTAAAAGGGTGATCATTTTTTTGGCACCACAAAATCAAGTTTTCTTAACCTAGCAAGCTTCTGTTCTCCAAATTTTGCAAAAGCATGCAAAAAAACTTTGTTCAATGTTATTAAATGACTTACATCTTTGTTTTAAACCATTTGAAAAGATGGCATATATTGTACATGTGCAAGCATCCGTGTTCTCTTGAAGTTTCTGAATTTAATATTAGTGGTTACTTTTTCCAAAGCTATTATCCTCTTTTCTTCAAATTCTAGCAGAAAAATCACTTAGTGGTGGATAGCTGTCAAATTTCCTCAGGTTAAGACAATCTTCTAGTCACATCTGAATCTCTTTTTAGAGCATAGTTTTATTTGTCACTTGTTTATTGTTGAAGGGATTGTTTGTTTCATTCTTCAGAAAACATCTTAGAGACAGCATCAAACAACTTCTTTTTTCCAATATGAACAAATTCTGTCATGGGATTGTTCTGCTGGAATCTGTTATCTTCTTAATTCTCTGCAAGTTTTCTCAAAATTCAGTAGAGCAGGCTAACCTGTGTATTATTACTATGCAAAAATATATTTTGAGGGGGCTTCAAGCCCACTGGTTTTGCCCAGGAAGAAAACACCCCCAGCGGGACCCCAGTAGTACCTCCAGGGTGGTCGTCAGCGAAGAGGAGGACAGTGGCGAGTAAAGGAGGGATGGGCAACGATCGCTTTCTTCCAAAATAAAAGGCTTTAATAACATGAAAATAACAAACAAAAAACACCTGAGGCAGGCACTGAAACAGCACCCACCCCAGGGGAGAAGTGAAAGAGCATGTGGCCTTGGGGCCAGGGGTTTTTAACAGGTAGGTAGGTGGGTTTACAAAGGCATTGTCCTGTAAGGATACCTGGATGGGTTACCGACAGGTCAGGGGTCCAATGGGTGTTAGGGGATTGGTCTTGTGGTGGCTAAGCCAACCACAACCTGGGGAAGATGGATAATTCTGGATGTGTGCCCCTGTTTGGGGACAAAGAGGCAACAGAAACCTCTGTCTCCAGGAGGCGCACTGCAACAGTGTATAACAGGTTATCTACTCACAAGTGCTGTTTTCTATTTCTCTGTATAATCAGAAGTATTTTCATAGTATATTTGTATGCTTTGTATTTATTCACTTTTTTTTTTGTGATTGTGGTGTGGGATGTAGGGCTGTGGGTAGTCAAGCTCACTGATCACCAACAGATTAGGGAGGCTTTCGGTGCGCTGCATCTGATTTTCATCTTCAGCTGTTATAACAGCTAGGTTCTTACCGTTTTACTGTAGGTGCAGAGGGGAATACAACTCACTTTCTGTTAGAAATTCCTCTGTTGTCTACTTTGTTATCAGACTGAAGCCAGTTTCTGATGTCTGAATCTGAAGCCTGTTAAATTGATGCTTGTATCATTTTCGTCTGTTCTAGTACCCCATTTCTCTGTCACGCTTATCATGAACCCAGCTGCTTTTATCAGGTCAGAACCTTTTGGACTTCATTTCTCTTCTCTTTCATTTGTTAAACCTGTAGTTAACATCAGTGCAATCATAATTAGCGTTTTTGCCCTCCCTTAATACCTAATCTGTGGAAGCTTGGAAACACCACTTTCATCTGGGTATATGCCTCAACAAGCCAAGACTGCATTTTGGGTAAGCTGTGTAGGTACCATTCTCTACCTTCCTTATAGCCCATAGAGGTCACGTGCACTGCTGTACCTCTGTCCTATGGGCCTGTTTCCTTGTAGAGAACCTTCTGTACTTCTCGTAGTCATTGCTCATTTCCCTGAGGTCCAGCCATCAGAAGGGCAAGCCTTTGATACATTTCTCACAGTCCCACATCTGAAAGATGCCTCTGAGTAATTTTTTCCCTATGGTAGGCTAGTGGATCTAAATCACAGCTTTTCTGACATCAGAAGGGCTTCATTTGTTTGTATCAGCTGAAGATACGGTGCCTGAACTCAAAAGCAAAGCTAAGATCATGTTGCAAGATTTCGTAATAAGACTGTGTTTTTTGTGGTGCACTTATTTTTAATTTCAAGGATGATTTCTGAAAGGTATTGTTTTGGCATTAAAGTTAGAAGATATTTTCGTTATCACATTTAGTTATCTAAATGATCTATGTAGACACCTGCTCCTGCTGTGTTGTATTCCATTTTTCAAAGAGCAGAAAAATAATTTTGTTTCTAGAATATGCATGTAATTTTTTTTTTAATATTTTTTGTCATTTTATTCTATAGCAAATCAGATACACACTTCCAAGTGAATTTTCTGTCTTAGCTCTTAGCTTTTTGTTTGAAGATATTTGGCTCAACTGTTTTCCACTTGTGCACTTGTGCCAGAAAATTCCTTTCTGTATTGATAATAAATATGTGAACAACCACAATAAATTAATATTAAGACACTGTCCACCATCTGTCTTTATTTATAAGAAATTAGTCTGTAAAGAGGAAATAAAGGATTAAGTTTTGTCTTGCTTCCTGTTATTTAACCATAATACAGATATTTTGAAACGTAAAAAAAAAGATAAGTACCCTGAGATTTCATTTTCATCACTGTTCTGATTTTGTGGTGGTCTGAGCCACTCGTTAGCACTTGCTTTTCTGTAGCAGGAGTTTTGTAGCTTTCCTTTGCAATATTTGGTGCTATTGGTATTTGATAATAGGATTTTTCTTAAATCAAGTTCTACAGTTTTTCTCATTCTTGGTTTTCTGTTTTTTCAACAGATGCTCTTAATGTACCTGTAAGGATTTCAGTCAGTGGCATTGAACCAGCCCGTTGTGGTACAGAGGAATTTGATACAGAAAACACAATATGTGCTTTAAATATCCGCAAACAGACATCATGGGAGGATTTTTCAAAAGCAGTGAGTCAGGCAGTGACAAACCATTTCCAGGCAATCGCTTCTGATGGATGGAGGAGCCTAGAAGACCTGTCATTTAATAGTGCTGCAGAATCCAACATTGGCCTCAGTGCAAGCAGTATATTATCTGTCAAACTAGGTATCAATATTGGGGTACTAAAAGCAAAAACTTGGGGTTGTCTTGAATTTGTAAAATCTTGTAAGATAAAAATATCTTTACATTTCTGGATCTTTCAAAGAGTAGATCAAGAAAGACCAATGCTAGCTATGAAACTTTGAACAGTGTTGGCATGAAAGCATTCTTTACTTCTAGCTGTGTGTATGGTACAATTCATTAAGAATGTTAATACCATCTTGGGCACCATGATGTTGTATGTTAATTAGTCCTTTACTCAATTTAGTACTCTGGAGGAGAGACCTGTGTTACTGGTGAAACACAACAATTCAAGGCAAAGCCCACAATACATCTTGACAGTCCATCCAGAATGTACATTAAATCCAGACTGTAAATCATCAGCATAGGTAGAACAGAGCTACTCCTGTTCTGTGTAACTTCACTTACCAAGGTTTGCATAGGATTCTGGAAATTCATGTGCTTCATCTTCAATCCCTTTCCCTCCTCCATGTGTTTACCACCTCGGAAAAAAAAAAACTCTTCACATTAGACTAGACAAATGTTCCAATTTCACCTTGTTTTGCATGTAAAGACAGGCTAGCTATTAAACTTGTGTCTCAACTGGCAGAAAACATTGGTATCCTCAGTCATGTGTCAAATAATAGTATGGTTCAGTGCATGGGACTGGATTACTTGTCAAATTTACCAGCTTATGCACACAGTCTTTGTAAGCAAATGAAGAATCTTGAGCATAGTGCATTTTATATAGATACAGGGAATGTCTCTCATTTTTTCTTTTCAACAGGGAACATTTCATGGTCAACAGGTCAGATTTTTTCCCAGCCACCATGGGACTTTTTGAAGAACAACAGAACTGAGCACATCACAGTGTTTTTGTTTGGTAATTTTCAATTCATAATTTTCAGTTTTGAATGTTAAGATACTCCGTATGAAATCGATCATTTGAGAATCATTTGCTACTGGTATTGTTCTTCATTGTGGCTTGATCCTCAGAAATATCATACCCAGTTAATTGTTTAACTAGATGTAAAAGGGTCTACAACATCTAGAAAATACGCTGGCACATAAAAGCCGTACTGCCTTTTTCAGTTATAGCAGTACCCATTTTACTTATGTCATGGATACCCATGAATCTGTGTTGCTGGATAAATGCCTTTCCTTTCTATACCTTTTTAATTTGCATAGCCTGCAGTTTTAGATCACAGTCGAATACTGCATGAAAAGCATGTATGAAAAGCATGCATGCTTGTAAACATGAGAGATATAGAAAAGTTAATTTGTGTATCTCTTTTTAAAGGACCTCAAGAAGGCTGCCTGAATAGTGTGACTTACGCATCTATGATCCATCTTCAGACACTTCAGAATTACCTCCGCCTGGTAAGTACTAAGCGAGCTCCTCTCTGTACTAGTGTTGACTGAAAAAAATTGATCTTCTACTCCGTGAAAGAGGAAATGAGATGAAAGCTGGTATTTTAAAATGAAGCTCCCCCTAAATCTTATCCAAATAACTTCAGTCACATGAGGGCATTAACTTCCTCCTTTAAATAGCTGATTAACTGTTATGAAAATACAGTAAAAGCTCTGTGACATTCATTATCTCCTGTAACTTTCACAACAGTTAATACTTCAGAATGTAAGGGTAATTGGATAATAGGAGATAACTTTCATTGATCATTTGTTTTAACATTGCTAATCAAATCAGAATTGGTTTTAAAACTGCATAATTTCCACTGTGCCTTTGGATAGTATTTTATGCTGTTAGAAGAAGTTATGTACCATAGGTTTCTGCTGTATTCAGCAATATTAGACAGTGATATGAGTGTATTTCCTTACTGACTTTTAGAGATGAAGTAATTTTACAGTTACGATAGATTAAATAATTTTTATTCCACTGTTTTGATAACATGATCCCATTTCAACAGGAAAGGAAGTCCTTAGTCTGAGTCCTTAAATTAACAGTGACTTAAACTACTCTTTGATTTTACCATCATTCTGGCTTACCTATTTTACGTCAAAGTCAAGAAAATGTTTATGACTTCTAATCTCATCCTTCCTATGTGAATTGCATGTTTTAATGATTATTACAATGACAAATTCCTTTTCGTGTAGTTTGACAAATTAGAAGTTTTCCAATATATTTCCAAGATGTTGTATGCAAGTATTGCCTATCTTGAAACTAATATAGTAAGGATTATCAACTTCAGTAGTACAAAACAAAGAATTTTGTCTGTTAGGTGCCGATTGTCTCATCTAGATAAAAAAAAAAAAAGAATTTTCAAGACTGATTTATTGTCTGTCTGTAGGTGGAACAATATCGTAATGTCATTTTCCATGGTCCAGAAGGAAGTCTGCAAGACTATATAGCTTATCAGATAGCGACCTGCATGAAGGTATTAATACAAACATAGAAAGTAAATTGGTTCATAAACTAGAATTTGCACTATTTCACCGAATCTGTACATTTTCAACACAGCAAAAGCAAGTGGCTGCAGGATTCACATGTGAAATCGTTAAAGTTGAAGTGGATGCTGGTTTCTCCAAGGAGCAGCTTGCAGAACTGTTCATCAGTAGTGGTAAGGTTATTTCAGCTGAACTGATTTTGGTAGTTTGCAGGAAAGTTTTTAAAGGCAGAAATTAAAGGAATACATTAAACCTTTTGCATAGTAGGTGGCATGTTTTAACAGAGTCCAGTTTTCCACATGCTTGAGGAATAATAAGAGTCTAAACTGAGGTAGAACTAAGCGTGACAGTCCAGTAGGGAGCTCTGTCAAAAGTTTATGCCATTTAAGTAAAACTAATAGTTCTCAATTTTTTTTTTTTGTCTCATTCGTTTTTCCCTTTGTTTGTGAGCCTTTAAAAGTTGTTTGCTATGGTTCAGATCTGCTGAATCAGAAATGAAGGTCTATTATTCCCTTGCTGTAGCTGTTCTCATGTTTTAAAATACATGTGTGTATGAGAAGGGAAGCTATAATTACTACCTTCCTGGGAATAAGGATCAGTGACAGACTTTTATAAAAGTCAGACCATTGCTTCAGATATATGCTTGTTTACTCAATACTTATGTGTGTATCTGAACCAAATTTTGTCACCCAGGCAGGCAAATGTTAGTGTGTGTGTGTGTTTTCTGACCCATTACTGCAGGAGAAAGTTGAACTTCTGTTAAAATGAGCAGTTTTCTTTTAATGGATGTGAATAGCTACATGTAGATTAAAGTTCTGTTACTTGGGTGTTTCCCAATGAAGTGGTCTCAGAGTGATCAGTAGGCTGTACCTGTGTAAATTCATGATAAATGATTGGTAAGAGGGGAAAAAGGACAAAGCAGCCAAAGATTAATGACAGTGAAAATGGGCAAATTAAGTATGGAGGGAGAAAAAAGAGGTCACAACAGTCAGTCATAAGAAGGAAGGAGAATGTAAAGGAATAGAATAGTGCTAAAGAGAAGGAAAAAGCAGTATTTTCTCTGGAGGGCTTTTTCAGGGGCAGGTTGTGCTGTGTTTTGCCCATACTTATGCATTTGAACTTTCATGATTTATTTTTTTTTTACTTAACCATAGTATTGACTGAAGAGTAATAATATAGTATGTAATATTAATAAAATACCGTATTGATGAAAATAAAATAATCAAGAGAAATGGTATAATAGTGTTATTTAAACATTCATATAATAATATAAGATGATATAGCTGTAAGATACAATACAATTTATAATTTTTCACATACAGTAATAATATAAGAGTCTGAAGGGTGATAGGATGCTTCCTATTCCTTGGTACTGTTCAAATTAATTTGGGCTCAAATGCAGTTTTGCAGTTCTCAGATACGTATCCGCTTTCACCACTTTGCAGCTTTTTTTTTCTGTTTTGTGAGTGTTTAATTTTTTTTTTTTCTGTTGACCAAAACTAGCAATATAGTTTGAATCTAACCTTGGTGGCAAGACTTCATTTTCATTTAAACATGGTGGTCTTTTTTATTATTATGACGACATCTACAACTCTAGGATCTTAACTTTATCGGTCATTCACATGAAAAATAAATGTGATAAATGTCATTATTCCTTGGAATAACCTTGTGTCTCAGGAACTGTGGTTTTCACATTCCACTTTCTGTATTGAAAGAGGCTGGGCTTTAGCCATGAAAAATTGTACAGGTTTCAGTGGCACCAGTGCAACATTCATGGATGCATTTCTCATGTGTTACTGTGATTAGACTTTCGAGACAGCCAGAGCTTAGAGAGGGCCAGCCCCTACCTTCTTCCTTCTCAGTATGGGCAGACCAAAAACAGCAAGAGGAGTTTGAACCTCATAAGCAAGTGTTCTGTTCACACTAACTAGAATCACTAACTTTTGAATAGAAAAGCTACAGTTCAGTGAGTGAGACTGAATGCCATCTCCCTGCTGTGCATTTGCAGCATGGGGCCTGTTCTTCAAGCGTGCTTTCATCCTGTAGCTTCCCTTGGCTTTCTGAGTTGCAGCAAACCCTGCACGGTCCCTTCTGACAACATCTGTGCTTGTGACCAAAAGCAGAGCCATCCCATGGGCTCGTACAATGGTGTGCAGTCTGTCTGTTAGCGTACTTTCTGGTGTAGTTTCAGTCTAGGTGAGTTTTTTCTCCCAGGAGATACTGGTCACAGTTTGGAGGATAGCTTGTGCCAGGGATTTTTTGACGCATGTCATTTTTAGTGCAGTCATATTGCTGGGATAGAAGAAGAAACCCTTTATTCAGAAGTCAGATAGGCTTTGGTGTTTTGCCTGCAGGTGAGAAAATCATTCACAGTCTGGTTTGTTTGCTAGCCACTGTCTCTTAAGGAAGCTGCTTCTTTTGAGTGCTTTACTCTGTGTCAGCAATGTCTTCTTAATAGACTGTGCTTGTTTCAGCATTGTGCTTTTGGTTGAGTCCCAATTCTGCCTCCTTCTTGCCTGTTGTTCTGCCACATCTCCTCTCCTAGGAGAGCACTCTCCCCTCTAAATGGTTCCATCAGACACAGAGGAGGTACCTGTCCTCCCTGCTATCCAGATAGATCCTCTTAGTAAAACAGGACAGTAATATTCAGGAAACTGCAAATAAACTGAAATCAACAGCTACAGCTAGTTGCTGTAAGTTTTGCCCGATTGTTTTCCTTAGTGACCACCTATAACACCATCTTCAAAAAGTTCTGAAACAATACAAGGCTCTCTGTACTCAAGACAAATGTTCTGTTTAATATTTGCATTGTAGAAGTATTCATCTGGGATTCAGTGTTACAGAAACACTTGCAAAGACGGTATCTTTTCAAGGCAGTGAGATGTTAAAATCAGGAAAAATAAAGGAAAAAAAGCATTAAAAAAATGGTGTGTATGTGTATATATAGGATTTTAGTGTCTATTAGGTTCAAGTGCTGCTGTTTGTGTCTCAAAATAGCTCTGATTATTTGGGTGATTAAGGATATTGAACTTCTGAAGAGAGGATAGTAGCAAATAAATAGGCAATCTCAAAGAATCATTAAGATTCTTATAGAATATTCCCAATCTTTTTATCACTACATAGTTATAAAGAGTACATGTTAAAAGTTTAAGATGTATTACAGCAGATGAAAGAAATGTTTTCTGAGGTCTTTGCTACCTTTCCTGTTGTGTTTAGTTTCAGCATGCTGAAATTCTTCTGCTCTATAAAGATCCCATTACAGCCATTTTAGGAATTTATTTTAGTAATAGCTTTCAATTTTTTTCTTTTTCTCATTGTACAGCATGATATTCTTTCCATTGTTTGATCTTTATGCTTCCAATTTTAAACATATTCTATACTCTGCTTCTGTGAACAAGTTAAAAGGCTAAAAATAAAAATTCCTTTGTTGCATTAGTAGCTGTAAAATCTGTATACATAAATAAAAGTCAATTTTCATAAGTAGACATTAATGGTATATTTGTATTTCAGCTTGTCTGGTCCCAGTCAAACAGCCTCCTGTAAGCAAGACAACCATTGTGATTTTAGAAAATCTGGAGAGAGCTTCTTTATCTGAATTACTAGGAGATTTTCTGGCACCTCTTGAGAATCGCAGTTCAGAAAATCCTTGCACTATTCAAAGAGGTATTTAAAGAATCTGGGATGGGGACACGTTTTTACTACAGTACCATTGTACTATAATACATGACAAACAGGGAACTGGAGAAAAACCTAATTTTCTCAGGTTTTTTATTTTATTGCAGACAGTTATTCTTAACCAAATACAGCATGGTTTAGTGCTGACTTTTGGTGGGTCTCTTCTTTCTATTTATGTCACTGCTTCTTGCTTCTATATGAAATCATGTTAAAGACTTGAGTATTTCAGTAAAATATTTTATGGTTCACTTTTTAGCAAATGGAGTCTCTGGTGCCTTCTACTTTCATGAGAACTGCTTTGTGCTGGGGACAATCGCCAAGTGTCATCTGCATGGTTCTGACCTGCTGGGTCAGCAGCATTTTCGTTGGGTTCAACTTAGGTGGGATGGGGAACCAATGCGTGGCTTACTTCAAAGGTTTTTAAGAAGAAAAGTTATAAACAAGGTAAGAACTTGGAATTGGCTTCAGCAACTTTGTTCATCACCAGGTCCATGAAATATGCATGATGGCAATGTCAAAAGCTGAGCAGATAACTAAGTTGTTTCAGGAAAAAGCATTCATTTTTAGGAAGATACCAGTCACGCATCTTTAGATGTTGTGTTTGGCCTCATAGAGGAGGCTGTGTGGCCATGGCTGAGTAGCATGAACACACAGGTTGTCTGCAAATAATGATTCTGTGGATACTTGCTTATCCACTGTATGAAAACATCCTTCATGATTTTTTTTCTTCTTCTGTGTGAGAATGATAGTAAAATCTGTTCAGCAAATGTGAAATCAGTTTCTCAGGGAATTTATTCTATATACCTAAAATAAGATAGTTACATGTCCTGTGTGAACTGTCAGAGTTTTACAAATCAAGAACTTGTCATGATTTTCAAACCAAAGAGGAAAGAAGGGTGAAAACGTATCAGTAGGGAAGTTGTTTTGAGCCAGTAGGCTCACTGAAGCTGGAACAAAAATCCAAAAGAGAATAAAGATGGGAAGTCTATTTTAACATGAATAAATGGAGGATGGGAATTGAAAAGAAAGACGTGGGCAAAAGCAGATTCGTGGGATTTTGAAAGTTGTCGTGAAGAAAACCATTCCAGTGTGACAGCAGCTATTGCAAACAGTGAGGCAGTGTTAGATTTTGGGAGGGGAAGTTTAACCAGAACAGCTGCAAAGGAAAATAACCTTGGCACCAGAGTTTTGAACAGGCTTAGAAAGGGAGATTGTTCTAGTAATAGAAACTGCCAGTAGTGGAGAGTCCTGGTCTGGGACAACAGCTCTGCTGTCAGTTCTGAGTGTTCAGATACACATCTTGTTTTTCCTTGGGGATACCACCTTGTGTACTCTGTGCCACAGTTCTCGTGTAGAGTAGCTTACTGATTCAAGGAGGCCCTGCAGAGCAAATATATGGTAACTGAACATTTCAGTTATGATAATGAGGAATTTAGAAGAATCCCTAGGTGATCCTTAATAGCAAGAACAAGAATACAGAATATAAAAAAATGAATCACTTTCAATGTTCCCATGTGCTTTATAGAATCATAGAATCATTTAG